GTTGTTCTTTCATTTCCCAGGCTGAGGAGCCAGTTGTTCATTTTTTTTTGTTAGGTCGTGTTAACTGGCCCTAGACATTCCACAGATACATAAACCCCCTTGCCTAGTTTCTAACAGACCTCACAACCTCTGAGGATGCCTTCCATAGATGTGGGTGAAATGTCAGGAGAGAATGCTTCTGAAACATGGCTGTACAGTCTGGAAGACTCACAGCAATCCAGTGATTCTGGTCATGAAAGCCTTCGATAAGACCTCACAACCTCTGAGGATGCCTTCCATAGATGTGTGTGAAACGTCAGGAGAGAATGCTTCTGGAATATGGCTATACAGCCCAGAAAACTCACAGCAATCCAGTGATTCTGGTCATGAAAGCCTTCGATAAGACCTCACAACCTGTGAGGATGCCTTCCATAGATGTGGGTGAAACGTCAGGAGAGAATGCTTCTGGAATATGGCTGTACAGCCCAGAAAACTCACAGCAATCCAGTGATTCTGGTCATGAAAGCCTTCGATAAGACCGCACAACCTCTGAGGATGCCTTCCATAGATGTGGGTGAAACATCAGAAGAGAATGCTTCTGGAATATGGCTATACAGCCCAGAAAACTCACAGCAATCCAGTGATTCTGGTCATGAAAGCCTTCAATAAGACCTCACAACCTCTGAGGATATCTGCCATAGATATCGGTGAAACGTCAGAAGAAAATGCTTCTGGAACATGGCCATATAGTCTGGAAAACTCATAGCAATCCAATCATTCCAGGCAGGAAAGACTTCGGCAACACAGTTCTGTTTTTGTTGTTCTTGCTGGAGCCCATTTTGGGACAAAAAGCATAACCAGAAAACAGGAGTGTGGCTAAAACGAGGTCTTTGCTCCCTCAAATAATATCAAAATTTGAAAAAAAAATGTTCCTGGTTTAAAAGTGTTATTTTCCTGTTTAATAGTGCAGCATGTACTTTGAAATTCATTGTTCTACTCCAGAAACTTTGTTTTTGTGGCTGCCACAAACTACAGTAAGTGGAATTGGTTGAGACTCGATGAGAGAGTCATTGAAAAACCAGAGCCAAATCTGTTGCCGGATGTCCCTCAAAAACAAAGTTTTTGCAGTTCAATAAACTTTCCCCAATTAGGAAATGGCATTCATAGCCCAGGAAGAAGAAGAAAAGTATTATGTAGTATAATGAAATATGCCTTCAATCCCTGGGTTCCTAGTATTGAGATGGTGAAAGTTATCCACACCTCAGACGTCTATATTTCTGTGTTCCCACTCCTTCTCTTTTTAAGGCTCTTGTTGCACTTTTGCAACCGAGGAAGTAGACTTGAGGGCGTATCTCCATTGTTGAATGAATGCAGGTTGACACCACTTGAACTGTCATGGCAACTCCTGGGAGTTGCAGTTTTCTAAGGTCTTTATTGTCATTCTCTGCCTCAGCAAACTACAATTCCCAGGATTCCATGGCTTTTTGTTGTGACAGTTCCAGTAGATCCAGGGAATCTATCCCTCTATTCCGCCTTGGTTAGACCACACCTGGAATATTGTGTCCAATTCTGGGCACCACAATTGAAGAGAGATATTGACAAGCTGGAATGTGTCCAGAGGAGGGTGACTAAAATGATCAAGGGTCTGGAGAACAAGCCCTATGAGGAGCGGCTTGAAGAGTTGGGCATGTTTAGCCTGAAGAATAGAAGGCTGAGAGGAGACATGACAGCCATGTATAAATATGTGAGAGGAAGTCATAGGGAGGGGGGAGTAAACTTGTTTTCTGCTGCCCTGGAGACTAGGATGCGAAACAATGGCTTCAAACTACAAGAAAGGAGATTCCATTTGAACATGAGGAAGAACTTCCTGACTGTGAGAGCCGTTCAGCAGTGGAACTCTCTGCCACGGAGTGTGGTGGAGGCTCCTTCTTTGGAAGCTTTTAAACAGAGGCTGGATGGCCATCTGTCAGGGGTGATTTGAATGCAATTTTCCTGCTTCTTGGCAGGGGTTGGACTGGATGGCCCACGAGGTCTATTCCAACTCTATGATGCTATGTTGCACTTTGCATCCGAGGAAGTAGACTTAAGTGCACATCTCCATTGTAGAATGAATGCAGGTTGACACCCAGGGGCGGCTCATCCATTATGCAAAGTAAGCGGTTGCAGTACACTTTTTTTTGCCAGGGGCGCAGAGGCACCTCTATAAATGCCCCTCAACCATCACTTGAGGAGTGCACCCTTGGCTCACAACAGCCCTAGCACTGGGGTGGTTCAACCCATTACACAAAGTAAGCATTTGCAGTATAGTTGATTTTGCCCAGGGGCACTCTTGAGGCGCTCTTGGGGGAAAATAGACCTTGACATATGTGAGTTGTAGTTACTGGGATGTATAGTTCACCTACAATCAAAGAGCATTCTGAACTCCACCAATGATGGAATTGAACCAAATATGGCACACAGAACTCCCACGACAAACAGAAAATATATATCAATGATTGGTTGGGGGGGGGGGGGCCAAAATATTGTTTGCTTACAGTTGAAAATTACCTAGGGCCGCCTCTGACACCACTTGAACTTTCACAGCAAAAAACCATGGGATCCTGGGAGTTGCTGTTTTCTAAGGTCTTTATTGTCATTTTCTGCCTCAGCAAACGACAACTCCCAGAACTCCATTGGGTTGCAGCAGTTCAAGTAAGGTCAAACTGCATTCCTCCTGCAATGTAGATCAGGTGTAGGCAAACTTGGGCCTTGAGGTGTTTTGAACTTCAACTCCCACAATTCCTAATAGCCTCAGACCCCTTCCTTTTCCCCCTCAGCCGCTTAAGCTGAGTTAACCTGTACTGGACAGGGTTACACTATTAGGAATTGTGGGAGTTGAAGTTCAAAATACTTCAAGGCCCAAGTTTGCCCATGCACCCTTTGAGCGTGCATGTTCAGACCTGTTCAGCAGATCATAGAGTTAGGATAGGTCTTGGCCCCTGTTTTGTCGCAGAAAATTTCGATCCAGATGTGAGTTGAGATCCCATATTCCCTCCAACGGCTGGTGATGTCATGCCAAACTCTACCGCAACCGTATTTGCTGCAAATCCTCTTCTGAGTCAGCCAAAATGTAAAGCACCTGGTGTCCGTCCCCCCCTCCTTGAATGCAGCGCCTTTGGCAACAGAAGCAGCCTTGATGCATTGAAGCAGGCTGATTTTGGGCATTGCCTTCAAAACAGGCTTCCTTGGGCTTTTGGGTTTTGGGAGATTAGAGTTCAAATACCTTCTTAGTCCTTCACCCAAACTAGTACATCCTCCTGGCTCTTGGTTAACCCTATAAAATAAGGGGGAGAGTGGAAAATTTGCTCACAAGTAGGATATTTCCAAAACAATTAACTGAACTTTAGCCAGCCTTAGTCCGTCACTCAAGTCATGACTTCACGCTGGGTCTTATTTAAGTCTATAAGACAGTGTTTCTCAACTTTTCTAATGCCGCAACCCCTTAATGCAGTTCCTCATGTTCTGGTGAACCCCAACCATAAAATTATTTTGGTTGCTACTTCATAACTGTATTTTGCTACTGTTATGAATCGTAATGTAAATACTATTTAATTATTTACAACATTTATATGGCGCCCTTCTCACCCTGAAGGAGACTCGGAGCGGCTTACAAGATATATATATACACACACACATACATACAATATGCTATATTTTAGCATAGTACAATATCAGTATTAAATACTACTATATTGTATTATACCATTATATTGTAATATTATTAGTAATATTAAATGTGATATAAATATATAATTATAATACTATATTATTATAATTAGTATTATATTGCATTACATTGTAATATTATAACTATTATATGTATATACAATATATTATATTATATTATTAACATAACACAGGGGACAATATCTGATATGCAGGATGATTTTGTCATTTGGGAGTTGCTATTGCTGGGATTTATAGTTCACCTACAATCAAAGAGCGTTCTGAACTCCACCAATGATGGAATTGAACCAAACTTGGCACACAGAACTCCCATGACCAACAGAAAATACTGGAAGGGTTTGGTGGGCATTGACCTTGAGTTTTGGAGTTGTAGTTCACCTACATCCAGAGAGCACTGTGGACTTAAACAATGATAGATCTGGACCAAACTTGGCACGAATACTCAATTTACGAGGCCATAAAAATCTCCAGCAAGCATGCAAAGAATGAGGAAGTACTTCATCAGTGTCACAAATGTAAGGTGAAGTGACAGTGGCCAAAAATACCCTCAAGAAAAAACTGGAATGTTAAATTGCCTCTGTGTCTGTCTATATATGTTGTGTGTCTATGGCATTGAATGTTTGCCATGTATATGTACATTGTAATCCACCCTGAGTCCCCTGCGGGGTGAGAAGGGTGAAATATAAACGCTTCAAAAAATAAATAAAGTAACATTGGGTGGGCAGATGTGGGAAACCATCTGAAATCCATCCTGTGGACACATCTCCAAAGCCAGGCATCCCATGTACTTTGCGTAGATGGTGTCTGGTCAACAGGGCATTGTTGAGGCTCAGTGCACACTGGATCCCTAGTTTCTATTTCCAATCAGACACTAGAAATCAGGAGATGAAAATACAATAGTTTAATATGCATGAAAGTGCCGTTAGACTGACCTGCATCATGGGTTTTATAGTTGACTCGAGTCAGATTGAAGTGAACATGTACACACATTCAATCAAATCTCTCTCTCTTTCCTTCACTTCTCCCTCCCAGCTCTATCCTTCAGTTCTGTGCCTCTCTGTTCCAAAATAATTCTGTTTTCCAAAGCATTTTTCCTGCACTCCCCCCTCCCACCTCTTCACCTTTTACACACCTTGCCTGGCAATCTGTCTCAGCCACCTCCTTTGCTCTTTTCACTCCCTCTTCCCCTCTCTTTAACCCTTTCTCAAAACTTTCTTCTTCTCAAATTCACACTTAATAGTCTCAGTCTCTTCAGCATTGTGAAACTGACACCTCTCTGTCGCTTCCTCTTCCAGGAGGGCAGGAGAACGGCGCCGGCGATGGCCTTGGCAGACTCCGCCGGTTGCGCCAAAGCCGGCGAGGACATGGTCTTCCCGGAGATCGTGGAGCTGAACGTGGGTGGGCAGGTCTACATCACGCGCCACAGCACCTTGGTGGGCATCCCGGGCTCCTTGCTGTGGGAGATGTTCACCCAGAAGACCACCCGCTCCTTGGCGAGGGACAGCCGAGGGCGCTTCTTTGTGGATCGCGATGGCTTCCTCTTCCGCTACATCCTGGACTTCATGCGGGATCAGGAGCTGGTGCTGCCAGAGCACTTCCCTGAACGTGGCCGGCTGCAAAGGGAAGCCGAGTTCTTCAAGCTCCCCGAACTTGTCAAGTCCTTGGCTCCAAAGGTTAGCAAGCAGAACTCCATTGGGGACGAGCCTTGCCAGAGTGACCCCGAAGAGCTGTCCCCAAATGTGGACGTAGCCCGATGCTTGGCTGCCGCTGGAGGGTCCCTGGCCCCTCTGTCCGGAGGTCCCGGCCAAGACTTACGGCGGTCGGGCTTCATCACCATTGGCTACCGGGGTTCCTACACTCTGGGCCGAGACAGCCAAACGGACGCCAAGTTCCGCCGCGTGGCCCGGATCATGGTCTGCGGCAAGACCTCTCTGGCCAAAGAGGTCTTTGGGGAGACCCTGAACGAGAGCAGGGACCCCGACCGGCCACCGGAGCGCTACACCTCCCGCTACTACCTCAAGTTCACCTTCCTGGAGCAGGCCTTTGACAAACTGGCCGACGCGGGCTTTCACATGGTGGCCTGCAACTCCACAGGGACCTGCGCCTTCGCCCACGAACAGACCGACGACAAGATCTGGACCTCCTACACCGAATACGTTTTCTACCGTGAGTGACGCTTCCGAAACCAAAAAACACCCTGCACCGAAAGGCAGTTCCTCCCTCGACTGATCCTCTTGTCTCTAGAACCTAGACACCATTGAACCCTCGAACCTTGGACCTTCCTTCCCCCCCTTGCTCTCCAAACTGTGATCCCTCTCCGGCTCCTTCCTTGCAGCTTTCCCTGAATCCTGGACTTGGACGCTGTTGTGTTTGTGTGTCTGGATGCGGGGAGGTTTCTCTTTCTGGGTGATGCAGGGAGGGATCATCTGCCAGTATTAACCAGCAATGCACCATTGTGGGAGAGTTGGGGTGGGTCCTCATGCCTCGAACTGCTAGTTGCCTTCGCTTAGGCCTATCCTAAAGCATTTTGCATGGGCCGGGATCCATTCTTGGTGGACGGAGGGAGGAAGAGGGGGGGAAAAAGATCCAGAAAGTCTCTCTCCCTGCCGCAGACATATTAACAATAGCCTCAGTTAAGCGGCTTAGCGCATAGACTGCCAGCGCTTTGGAAAGGTGAACTAGAAACCATGCACCTCCCTGCCATGGGATAGTTCTCCCATTGCCTCTTCTGAAAACAATGCCATTTGACCCATTTCTGTTACTTGGTGAGATGGGGAAGGGCTATAATCCAAGGTAACTGGGTACTTTGTTTGCATGTAGACCGATTGGGCACACTAATGCCTCTGGTTTGAAGGATTTTTGGGTAGGATGGTGTTTACCGTATTTATTGGAGTCTAATGCACACCTCAATTTTCAAAAACCAGAAACTGAAAGAAGTATCTGTTGCTGAATGTAACGTGCAGCAGCAAAAAGTGCACTCTTTGTATTTTGGCCAAAAAAGATGTGCATTACAGTGGCTTCTTGCTTAAAATTCCTCCTTCCAAAAAAAGTGTCAGGACACCAAAGCTTTCAGCAATGAAAAAGAAAACTTTGGGATGCATCTCTGCTGTAGAACTGCTTTTCTCAACCTGGGGGTCAGGACCCCTTGGGAGGTCGCAAGGAAGGTTTCAGAGGGGTCGCCAAAGACCATCAGGAAACATATATTTTGGATAGTCTTAGGAACCCCTTTGGCAGAGAAGGCTGAAGATCTCTCTGCCTGTCCGTCTCTTCATTTTTGGAAACAGATGGTGATATTGGCCGACCTCTCAGTTGACCTCTCAGCCAAGGGGAGGGCTCTTTCTGAGACAAGTTCTGTGTGGCAAGTTCTGTGTGGCAAGTTTACTAGTACCATCACCAGTGTTCTCGGAGTATTGGTGAACTACAACTCCCAGAATTCAAAAACAGCTCCCCCAAACCCCACCAGTATACAGAGTTGGCAGTGTAGGTAGTGTGCCAAGTTTGGTGCAGATCCCTTATTCGCTGAATTCTGAATGCTCTTTGATTGTAGGTGAACTATAAATCCCAGCAGCTACTTCCAAATATCAAGGTCTATCTTCCCTTAAACTTCACCAGAGTTCACATTTGGGCATATTAAGTATTTGTGCCAAGTTTGATCCAGGTCCATCATTGTTTTAGTTGCTCTCTGGATGTAGGTGAACAACAACTCCCAAACCCTTCCAGCATTTTCTGTTGGTCATGGTATTTCTGTGTGCCAAGTTTGGTTCAATTCCATCATTGGTAGAGTTCAGAATGCCCTTTGATTGTAGGTGAACTATAAACCCCAGTAACTACAACTCCCAAATGACAAAATCAATCCCCCCCAACCCCACCAGCATTCAAATTTGGGTGTAGCAGGTATTTGTGCCAAATTTGGTCCAGTGAATGAAGATACATCTTGCCTATCAGTTATTTACATTGCGCTTCATAGCAGTAGCAAAATTACAGTTATGAAGTTGCAATGAAAATAATGTTATGGTTGGGGGTCGCCACAACATAAGGAACTGTATTAAGGGGTCGTGATATTATGAAGGTTGAGAAACATTGCTGTAGAATGAATCCAATTTAATTGCCTTGGTTCAATGCCATGGAATCATGGGGGGATGTCATCATCATAATCCTTTGGCCCATCTGCCAAAGGATGATGATGCCTCACCAAACTACAAATCTCAGGGTGGTATAACATTGAGCCCTGGCCATTAAATTAGAGATGAGGCCCCTCAAAGAGGAGGTCCTGGTGCATCTTCTTTTGCTTTGGCTTGGCAATAAGATCACCGTATGACACATAATGTGCACCCTCATTTAGCCCAAAAGGTGAGCATTAGATTTGAGTAAATACGGTATGTGTGTAAGGAATACCTTTTTGTACCTGGAGGCCACTGTGGCTTCTCTATCTTCAAAGTGCTGAATTCACTGTGGCTTTTAGTGTGGATGTCAAAAGAGACATCGCAGATGAATTCTCTCCTCTCCCAAATGGGCCTGGCATCTCTGAGAGCTCCGTTTAGGTTTGGACCAATCCTCAAAATGGATGCATCCACACAGAGACAAACTGAGGTGGAAGCTACAAACTGCAGTTGTTGGTTTGGAGACCCAGCAGGAAGGAGCAGTAGACCCTCAACCTACAACAACGATCCCACCATCATGCTTCTTCCCAGTGATACAGTGCCTCTGAGCATGGAGGTTCTACATAGGGAAATATCTCCCATTGGTGGTGGCTTTCCAGGACTATGTTTCCGCAGCAGAGCATGTTTACCTGGATGACCCTTCAGTAAAAGCCATGTTTTCCTTTCTTGGTTAGGAGCGAGGAGAGGGGATGTGGCCCCTTGGAGAGCCCTGCACATAGGATGTAAACATTAGTGCCATAGAACGTGTTTCCAGTCCAGTGTTGTCCTTCACTTTATAGAGTAGGAAGAAAGAAAGGGAGGCAGACAACCCTTGCTTTTCAGAGAAGCTGGCTTGCATTGCAGAGCTGCGCAGCACTGGTGACCATTTGCTCGTAGGATGACTTCTTCCTTTTGGATTTATCAGGCAGACGGTTGGGGAAAGGGTGGGAGTTAAGCCATTCCTTTTCTTTAACTTGGGCCGCACCTTTTTCAAAAAGCCTCTTTCTAAAGCATAGCAACCGCACTGTGTGTATTATGGGAGGGAGGGTGGGAGGGGGGGCAGGCGCTGAGCAGCTGGGGCTTTGGCAAGCCTTTGAGGGGAAGGGGCTCTGTGTAATAAAGGAACCAAATGGGAGAGCCACATTCTACCCTTGTTTTCTGCTTCGGGGCTGAGGAAAATGGAAAATATTGCCTCTTCCCTCCATTGCTTTATTAATATTCCTGCATTAAACTTCATCCGTCTTTGGAAACCACTGAACCAGAAAAGCGTCGGAGGAACGGTTGGTATGCAGTCACTCCCTTCCCAAAATATTTGCAGAGATGGTGCCAGTCTCCTTTGGATATGGACAGAAAGGCCTTGCGCGAACCAAAGCCCTTAATGTTGTGGAGTGATGTGTATCTTCATCAAGAGATACAATAATAACAACGAGTTGTGAGTTTTCCAGGCTGTATGGCCATGCTCCAGAAGCATTATTTATTTATTGTATTCATATAAATTTATATACATTATTTATATATACATTTTATATATTTTATATTTATATTATATAAAATTTATATACATTTATATACATTATCTCCTAACATTTCACCTGTATCTGTATGGAGCACCCGGTGGCCCAGTGGGTTTAAATCCCTGTGCCGGCAGGACTGACAGGTTGCAGGTTCAAATCCGGGGAGAGGCAGATGAGCTCCCTCTATCAGCTCCAGCTCCCCATGCAGGGACATAAGAGAAGCCTCCCACATGGATGATAAAAACATCAAATCATCCGGGCATTCCCTGGGCAATTCTCTCACAACAGAAGAGAATTGTGAGAGAATTGGCCTTGCAGATATCCAATTCTCTCACAACAGAAGCGACTTGCAGTTTCTCAAGTCACTCCTGACACAACAACAACAAAAAACCACACCTGTATCTGTGGCATTCATCTTCAGAGCCATAGATGCAAGCAGAATGTCAGGAGAGAGTGCTTCTGGAACATGGTCATACAGTTTCCAAACTATTCAATGCGAATCAAGCTGGCCGATGGCAACCTTCCCACTTGCCACCAACAGACAAGAGTTCTTTCTCCCACCCTGGACATGTCACAGATATATAAACCTTACTTGCCTAGTTTCCAACCGACCTCACAACCTCTGAGGATGCCTGCCATACATGCAGGCAAAATGTCAGGAGAGAATGCTTCTGGAACATGGCCATACAGCCCGGAAAACTCACAACAACCCAGTGATTCCAGCCATGAAAGCCATGATAACAACAACACTATAATAATAATATGATATACTTTATTTATATTCCACTCTATCTCCCCGAGGGGAATGAGAGCAGATTACAGAATACATATATGGTAAACGTTCAATGCCATTACACAATTAACAACAAAGACAGACAGTACACAGACAGAGGTAAAGGTTTCTCCCTTTCCATCACCGTCATTTGGAGGTTGCGCTCAATTCTGGCCATGGGGAGGTGCCCTTGTTCCATTTTCCATGCCGAGAAGCCTGTTGTCCATGGATGCCTTACTGATTGAATTGCCAACAAGTCTGCATGGGTGCCTTTTATCTCCTCACCAAAGCAATACCTATTGATGAACTGACATTTTTGTTTTCATACTAAGCAGAAACTAGGGTTGACAGTGGGAGCTCACCCCGACCTGTGGCTTCGAACTACCAACATTCTGGTTGGCCAGATTTTCTGCAGCTGGCGGTTTAACCCACTGTGCTACCATGACCCCGTGTATATAACAAAATCAGAAAAAAAATCTGTTCCTGGTTTGAAAGTGTTATTTCCTACTTAATAGTGCAATCCTTACTTTGAAGGAAGGGTCCACGGTGGCGCAGCGGGTTAAACTGCTAAGCTGCTGAAATTGCTGACTGGAAGGTCAGCAGTTTGGATCCATAGGACAAGGTGAGCTCCCGTTGTTAGTCCCTGCTTCTGCCAACCTAGCAGTTTGAAAACATGCAAATGTGAATAGATCAATAGGTACCGCTTTGGTGGGAAGGTAATGGCACTCCATGCAATCATGC